ACGCTCGAGATTAGAAATGATCCTGACCTATAGTGAAGTGTAGGTATTTCCTGTGTGATGGGTATAGTATTATATGGAAATAGGCATCTTGTAGGTCGAGAGCCGAAAACCAATCCCCTTTCTCCAGTGAGGGAATTTCAGCTGCCAGAGTCACCATCCTGAACTTTTGAGACTTTCTGAACTTGTTTTAGAAGTCTTGGATCTAAGATTGGTCTCCACTCTCCGTCCTCCTTTGGCACAAGGAAATACTTCAAGTAAAATCCCTTACCGTTCTAAGTTCCCTCTAAGCTGCCGCAGCTGCCCAGCAGGCTATCAAGTGCAATGCACTTCAGGTGCCCCTCCCCCTCTGCCATGCTGCTCCTGCCTTCTGACTTGGAGCTGCTCCCAGGAGCCTCCTGCTTGCTATGCAGAGCGGGGTGGGGGGAGGGGGAGAAGAGACGAGGTGTGCTGTTAGGGTGTCCCCCTCCCCCCACAACCCCTCTCCACAGAGCGGGGGGGAACGTGACAGGGCTCAAGAGTGGGTCGGCGGGAGCTTGTTGGTGGCTGCTGCTGTGGCTGCCTTGAGTGCCGATCTACTTAAAAGGGCAACATACATAAAGCAGTAACGCGTCTCTGTCTCACACACAGTGTACGTCTCAGTCTTTCACATTCACCTCCCAACATATACTTGTATTATTATTGTTATTTCTTGACACTTCCTGCAATACACACATATTCTCTGTAATTTTATTCTTTCAATGTGCTATTGTTTGAGTTTTTTGACTGGTCTATGCATTTCATAATTTTTATTTCTCTCCTACGATTAAATTTAAATCTTTGAGTAGTGAGTTCTACAATGCCTAACCCATCCTGGCTGAAGTAATTATCTGTATGGTAACTTTTTTAAAATGTATATTATATCTATGTTTTTTGTTTCTACTGGTGGCGCACATCCGCACATTACCTCAATAATTTGATGCACATAAAATTCATTCCGCGCATGGATGGGAAAAATTAAAGGGAACATTGTTGCCCTTGTGAGGCAGAGGAACCAGCTATGTTGCTCCTAATCGAAGGAGAGAGTTCACTTCTTGTCTCAATAAAAACTCAGAGAGGGGTCCCTGAATGATAGGGATGGGGGATGAAGTGGAGAGAATGATGTAAAATGGATGGTATAACTCGATGTTATGACCTCTATGACCCACTTGTCTGTAGTGACCCACCGCCAAGCATGTTGGAAATAGGCAAGGTGATCTCCAAAAGGGGGAAGGTGGGCTCATGGGCGCAGCTGTAAATCCAGACGTGCAGGAGGATTTGAACCATCAACTAATCCATTAAAACTGTTGCTTCAAGATGGCTGGGTCATCGTGGAGGATGATCATGCGGCCCTCTTTCTCTGAAATCTACGTCTCTTTCTAGCGGGAGGTATGGTGGATCTATGGAACCTTGAACACTGAATGGGATGTGATCTCTGGGCAGTTTAGTAGATAACAAACTTTTTCTTATTTGTAGGTGTATGTATATCCAGGGATCACAAAACAGCCCTAGAGTCCTTTAGCGTGCACAAGGAGTCACCCGTGGTTTCCAAGAACAGTTTACAACCGAAGGCAAGATCCCCCCCACAGCGGTCTGCACTTTGCTCAGAAACCCCATTATATGGAGCCATGATGCCCTGCTCATAACCACAGCTGTGGAGATGGACCTGGCAGCAGTGTCTGCAGCACACCAACATGCTTGACAGGCAGTTATGGCCACCAAGTGGCCCTCAGATGATGGACTGGAATTGCTCCCTATGTTCTTGTGGCAGAAGTTCAATAAAAACTGTGAATCTGTTATAATGTGTAAAATTATATTTGGCCATGACCACCTGACAATTCGCGATCCTGAAATGCAGGGTTGCTGACAAAGAGGCCTTTCACCCAAAGAGATCCTGCCTTTTCTGGTCCTTATTATATGGGGTAGACCTAGAGAAGTGCTCCCTGCTCCACTTATTTACCACATCCACCATCTGGGAGTTAGGTGGCGGATGGGAGAACAAGAAGTCAGAAACCATAGGGGGAACATAATACTTCTTATCTGCCTATTTCCACATGGGTGGAACAGCGGCAAGTGTCTGCCACCAGTCTTAGCCAGATCTACAAGTGCCTCAGTGATGGGTAACGCCACCCTGGAGGGGTTACTGACTACAAGATATCCAACAGTTTGTGCTGTGACTCACTGATCTCTTCAAGAGGAATTTGTCAGCTACCTTCTTTATGAGGTCTTGAAATTGTCAAAAATCATCAGCCATGGATGGTGGCAGAGGCATAACCAGGTGTTTGAGGACCTTATCTACCCTAGCTTCCTGAACCTCAAACATCTGCTATGGGAGAGCTGGCTGGGGAGGAGAGGGCTGTACAACTCTGGCCTTCCTATGAAGAGTACCAGTGGTCTGGCAAATTGTTGATAGGCAGCCCAGAGATCCAAGTATGGACATTGGGGGAGAGAGGGCATACGGAAGTGGGAGTGGCCTGAGGGGCCACCTTGATAATGACCCCAATTTTCCTTACATCTTTCAGAGAATGGGATGATGAAGAGACCTGAACAGAAATAGAGGAGACCAACTGAAAGTATCTTCTCCTCCTCCATCTGATCCAAAGAGAGAGCACCCACCAAAAGTGATGGAGAATCCTGCAGTACTGGAAGACAGTAGTCTGTAGATCAGGGTCTCAGTACCAAGAGATGATCAGTACCCATGAGGAGTGGGGACTCTGGTTGTTATTGAGAGGTCCTTAGTATACCTTAATTCCTGTGCTATCAAGTAGGGCATCGGTACCGACATAGTAGCCAAAGCCAATGGTGGGTGGCACCATTGCTTGCTTGGTGCCAAGAATGCTGCATGCATGGGTACCAATGGCTGGGCTGAACACACAGGTACCAACAGCTGGGTGAACTCGAGATCACCAGCCCCGAGTGTCCATGCTTGCCCTCCTGGCTGGTAGAGGGTACCAAGGTCCTATTGGAGATGTCTCTCTCCTTTGTGGTTGAGGTTTCAGAGACCGTAGATCTCCCTGGGACCTGGACCTTTTCAGAGCTGTCTCCTTAAGGTGAAAGTCTGCACTCCTCTTTTTGGAAGTCTTCCCTTTCTTAGGGGAAGCCTGTGGCATATGCCATCTAACATACAACTTGTTTTCTGTAGTTTGGGGGGGAGGGGCAGCATCTGCATAGGCTCTAAGGCAGGGGTGGGCAAACTATGGCCTGCAGGCTGGATCCGGCCCACGGAATTGCAACCTCCATGGCGCCGCAGGCCCCGCACTGTTCCCAGAAGTGTCCGGCACCACGTCCCTGCGGCCCCTGGGGGAGAGGGGGCGGAGGGCTGAGTGTGCTCCCCTTGCCTGTAGGCACCATCCCCCGCAACTCCCATTGGCAGGGAACAGGGAACCACGGCCAATGGGCGCTTTGGAGGAGGTACCCACAGGCGAGGGCAATGCGCGGAGCCCTCTGCTCCCTCTTCCCCAGGGGCCGCAGTGCCGGAGTGGGACCTGCACTGGCCCCGGTGCGTGCCGCTGCTACCCAGGAGCCACTCCAGGTAAGATAGTGGTGACTGAAAAGCAGACAGTACCAAAAAAAAAAAAAAAGAAGAAGTTAGCTAGTATAAAGTATAAAGATAACTGCTTGGTGACTGTATTAACTCTTCAGCTGGTTTTCAAATTTAGTACACAGCAATGGATGAAAAAACTCAAGACTATCTCTAGTACTGTGATGTTTTACTTTCAATAATATATTCACTCATAAATAATGCATGTTCATATAATTGCATGGGCTTTAAGGGAACTACAAACAAGTCATTCAGAGAAATGAATGAATGTGCGTTTACCAAAATTTAACATATGACTTGAAAATGTAATCCATATTTGCAACAATTCTGCGTACGAATCACAACCGTTAATCTTTCAAGACAGATCATTAATATTAAAGAGATAATCCATACCGTAACTTAAATCTCTTCACATACTGATTACAAATTAAAGTTCCATGGAAAATTGTTGCTTCTCTACTCAAGTCTTTTGACTTTTTTTTAATTGGGGGAAAAAAACCTAATTTTTCTTTAAAAGTCAATTTAATCTAATCTGGGAACCGAAACCCTGAAATGCCCTAATTGTAACATTGCATGGTGTCACTACAGGGCAGAGTTAAAGTTATTTCAGTGCTCTAAATTGTGAATTTCCACACTTCTAAGGGGACTGAAACCAAGCTGCCCAAAGGAAAGATAGTGGCCCCTATCAAAGCAGAGAAGATGACTGAGCAGCAGGTGAATGAAGACAGTGGCCATCTTTGCTAAGGGCAGCTTGTGGTCTCCATCCAACTGGGAACAATCAGAGATGGAAGCCATTTTGAGAAGGGCATCTCAATTGTGGGCAGACTATATTCCACTGAATTGGGAATAACAGCTATTTTGAAAGAGGACAATTCTTGGTGGAATTCTCTGTAGAAGAACATTAGCCTCTACTAAAGGAGAAACTTTCAGTTGTGAAGAACAGAAGCAGCTACCAAAATAAACAAACGAATAAATAAATATCTTTAACTCTAACAAAAACTTCCTCAAAAACAAGGTTTCAGGACATTTTGATTATATTGGAAGTCTGAAGAGTCTGTTTTTCCATTATTAAGATTACCTGAGACCAAAAAAAGTATTAAAGGACCCATTTTTAACAGACTGATTTATAAATTATCTAAAATGAATTATGTGCTCAAAGTGTTGTAATTGTGGGGTACAGAACGAGGTTGAACTGTTGCAAAACTCTTCAGCCTTCACTGTGGAACTAAAACGGATACCTCCAGAGTTTTAAGGAGCATCAAAAACTTGGCATCTTATATCCCTTATCCCAGAACACTTATGTGCAGCTACTGTTCCTGAAGAGACCCAGTTTATTGGGTGTTGAGTCTCCCTGTGTGGACTCCCATCCAAGACTGGATGCCTCTGTGGTTTTACTAAAAAGGGGAAGTCTCTGTTAGAGAAGAATTGTACAATTTAATATTACCTTTTTATTTCTGAGGTAAGCTTTCTTGGCTGAAATGCGTCCACGCCTTGCTTCCAGCTGGCGGATTTTCTGTTGCAACTTCTGCAGCTCCTCTCTTTGTAAGTGTATAGATGTCGCCATATCTTCTTTTTCAAGCATGGCTTCCATACTTTCATAAGTATCGTAATATACCACTTCATCTCTCTTCTCTGTTTAAAATGTCAGCAATAAAAGAAGTCAAATCAGTGTATGTGATTGACATAAAACACTAAGTTGGTGGGTTCTGTTTTTTTGTTTAACATTGAACCTTGAATTAGACAATGCGCAGGAAGAGCTGGTCTTGACAAAAATAACAGTTGAATGCCAACGTGTTAAAGGGGCACAACCTCCTAAGGCGCTACAGTTTAGCTAAAACATAAAAAGCCACATCAATTATGTATCTGTTATTTTTATTGGCTCACACACCATTCTAAGAAACAATAACTGTAAGCATGAATTTGTGAAGGAAACATAACCCCATGTCACCACAACACTACGCCCCTGACAGCGTTTGAACTTAACTAACATGAGGGAAGAGTTTATGCTGCACAGTCATCTCATGTGATCTCCACTGTAAAGTTCAAGCTATATGGCCACTTCCTAGGGTTTCTGTTGTGTGACTCTTCTTCAGATATCTCATATATATACACACCATGAAAGAGAAATTAGACAACATGATGATCCCAAGATTTCGCCCATCAGAAGGTTTCTAGGCTCCTAGTCACGGCTTCTGCTCACTGGAGGCAGGGTGAGTACCTCTGCTAGGCTTACCTTGAAGACACCACACTTGAGAGGACAATGACATTATCAAAAGTTTTATCACAACCTATCATTTTTAAATTTGTATTTCACACTATAGTCTCTCTTGCCTACAATGGAGCACTAATGAATTCAAATGCTGTAATGAGTAATTGTTAACATTTGATCTCTAATCTCTTATCAAGGGGGGGGGGGGGAATAAATAAATAAAGGTGATGAATCCTTCACTGTGAATGCTTGGGTAAGGGAGACACAAAGGCCTTCTAAACCCCTCTATATCCTCTGCTGCAGGCAGATCAAAGGAAGCTACCAGGAGTGGAGTTCAATGCTGGTGGCTCAAACAGGAAGGACAGTGAACATTTAGCACTGACCTTACTGCCAGTTGCTCAGCCCTGAGCACCTAGAAACACGCTTCTTATTTCTCCTGCAGTCAGCCACCTCTCAGGAAAGCTGCTACTCTGGTTGCATACAACTAACTTCCTCCTACCCAGCTGTAGGATTCTTCTGGGGCAAGGGCTTCCCTCCTCCGTTCTATGAGGCTACCCATCTTAAAAGCAGTAGCCATTTACTGTGTTATATGCATGAAGCATCTTCTGCCTCCTGGTGCTGACTATATCCCCCCGCTAACAAACAGCAACTCAGAAGAAGAAAGTGATTCTAGCAAGTAAGGACAGAACTTCATAACTCTAAAATTAAAACAATGTACAAAAACCACCACACTAGTCACTGAACCTAGCACTCACTTAGAAAAAAAAAAATTCAACAAAAAAAATTTATCCATACATGTCACTGGATCACTTTATGAAAAATCAGCCTGCAAAATTTCATGTTTGAATCACCTAAAACTGTATTTTCTTAAGCAGCTATCAAAGAGAGAATCTGTGTGCAGGTTTCATTCTAAAAAGAGGCAGAGTCATAAAACAGGATTTTACAAATGAACTGACAGACTCAATTACAGAGTGGATAAAAATCAATGATTTAAAAAAAAAAAATTTAAAAATGGTTTGTTTTGTTTGTTTTTTGGTAAAATGCTTTTTGAGGAAAAAACCTATCTAAAGATAGTTTTAAATAAGATACATTATAGCTCAAAGATATCTCATCATGGAATAGGGATTATAAATTCTAATTCTATAGTATGAGACAATATATTCATGTAATGTTTAAGAAAAGTTTTGTAAATGAGTTCTAATAGTTCATGGATTAGGGACCCAATCTTATGGGGTTCCAGGAGTTTCATAGAATCATAACAGAGCAGATGTTGCAGGCAAATTGCTGGATAAAGTGTATGAAAGAGAAACTGAGCAGTGTGCAAAAGGTCTAGAGGGTAAAATTTCTAACCTGAGTCTTGATGGGTGGAGCAATGTCCACAATCATCCTGCTGTATGTGCCTGTGTGACAACAGAAGAAGGAAATGTCTTCCTTACAGAAACAATTGATACATCAGGAAATGCACACCCAGCAGAAAACTTACAAGAAGTAGCAGTAAAAGCTATTAAAAAAATCAAATGTCTAGTACACAGCTTGGTCACAGACAATGCTGCAAATGTATCCAAGATGAGAAGAAATTATTTAGAAGAGAGTCCCAAGCTAATAACATACGGTTGCAGTGCTCATTTGATGCACCTCCTAGCCAAAGACTTCAGTGTTCCAGAAATAAAGGCTAATGTTGTTGAAATTGCAAAATACTTCTGTAACAACCACTTTGCAGTAGCTGCTCTGAAAAAAGTGAGAAGAACCAAGCTAACTCTCCCACAAGATGTGCGATGGAACTCAGTAGTGGACTGTTTTGAGCACTATAACAAGAATTGGCCTAATCTGATGACAGTTTGTGAACAAAATTGTGAAAAAATAGATGGCACTGTCACAGCCAAAGTTCTCAACATTGGGCTTAAGAGAAATGTTGAACACATGCTGAGTACCCTGAAGCCTATTTCTGTAGCCTTGAACAAAATGCAGGGAAATAGCTGTTTTATTGCTGATGCTGTTGAAATTTGGAAGGAACTGAGTGAGATCTTAAAGAGAGAAATATGCAATGACAGAGTTAAATTACAAGCACTAAAAAACAAATGGGACAAGCACTATCTCCAGCTCATTTTCTTGCAAATATTCTCAATACTCAATTCTCCGTACCAGGGTCAAACCTTAACTACTGAAGAAGAAGAGTTGGCTATGACATGGACATCCAGCAATCATCCCTCCATAACGCCAACTATAATAAACTTCAGAGCTAAGGGAAATATAAGAAAATATACTTTCAAGAAATATATGTTTGCTGCTGCTGTTTTAAAGAAAGTCACACCAGTGAACTGGTGGAAGTCACTTAAGCACTTGGATTCAGAGACTGTTGAAGTGATAATCTCACTTTTAACACTAGTAGCTTCTTCTGCCAGTGTAGAAAGAATATTGTCTTCCTTTGGACGAATTCATTTCAAATTGAGAAATCATTTGGGACATGAAAAAGCAGGAAAGATTGTTTTTCTTTTCCAGATTATGAACAAACAGGAAAACAAAGGTGAAGATGACTGAGTTAGCTGCAGAAGCCAATATTTTAAGTTTCTCATGTTGACCTGGCTGACACAGTCAATTTAATTTTTTTTTTTAATATTTCATTTAACTATTTTAGTTAAAAACAATTTTAACAAAAACTAACCTTATTTTAAAAAACCTGACTGTTTAACTAAATTCAAAAATTCATATGCTTGTTTTGTTAAAATATTTATTAAATGTTTGTTGTTGAAGAAAAAAATCCAGAACACATAACGTTGTTGTTTTAGTTAAATAAAACAATTTAAATGTCTGTCTGGTGATGTTCTCCTCCTAATAGAGCATGGCAAGAAAATCTTCCAAATATTAATGATTAACTTGTTGATTTGGAGATAGTTCACCTCCCAAATGACTTCAGAAATATCTGCTTCAATTACCTTTGGTAAATGAAATACCCAAACAATCATTCATTTTCTGATACAGCTGTAAAACTAATCTGAAAAGTTTTCAAAATAAATCACTTAAAAATGTATAGTGTGTACCTTAATGAAACCTACATCTATCTCTGAGTTGTGAAGAATGTGTATTAAGGTTATAACAACCAACAAGAATGCACTTTTATGTAGAAATCCATGATTAAATCTAGTCTTCCTGACTAGTGATTTAAATCAAATCCACCCTGCTCAATTACATCTTTAACAAGCATTTCAATGCTAAAACTGGGACATGCAAGAGTTTTCTTTAAAATATTTGTACATTTGCAGGTCCCCTTTCAATTCTATTGTGTCTTTCATCAGAAAAACACAAACTATTCTTTTTGGCCTTTAAAACATGTCTGTGAGGTTGGTAAGTACTGAACCTCTCTTATAACCTGGAACATGAAAAATATGCAAATTAAAATAATTCCTTTTCTGTTTAGTCCCCCAACATTCAGACTTGCCAAATAAATTAAAATACTAAGCTAGCAGCCAACTCTCACATTATCTGTTGATGACATTCCATCCACCACAAATCCCTCAGCAGAGATGAAGTTGGCCTGTTTGGGTATGTTGTCCCTTTAAAAGCCTTAATTTACAGAATGTGAATTCAAGTACAGATCTTCTGTTGGTAACTCTAAAAGCCATCATCATGGGATTCCCTGTTTACTGTCTCAATAGCTACCAGAGCAACTGTGTTCCATTTACAAGTAAAACAATGTTTTTTCCCCTCCCTAACTACCAACCTGGACATTCAAACTAGGATTTTGAAGTAAAGTTGTGTTTTTTCTGGCTTTAGCATTATCAAAAGAAGATTCTCAGCCAGAATTTAGTCAATTCTGCCGATGCTGCAGAAATCAGAACAGAATCCAATTGCCTTCTCATGGCACTACAGAGTGAATGTAGCTACCAGGAGTAAAAAGTAGTTCCAGCTTACAATGGTTACTAAAATGTACGTAGTACAGATCTGTTCCATAAGAAGAATGCTACTTTTCTGACCATAACTGTACTTTAAAGGAAGTAGGATTGATGATTCAATAAATACACCTCTATCCCGATATAACGCTGTCCTCGGGAGCCAAAAAATCTTACCGCGTTATAGGTGAAACCACGTTATATCGAACTTGCTTTGATCCGCCGGAGTGCACAGCCCCGCCCCCCCCGGAGCGCTGCTTTACCGCGTTATATCCGAATTTGTGTTATATCGGGTCACGTTATATCGGGGTAGAGGTGTAGCAATTTTCTCTCTGAGTCAGTAGTAAATCATGTGTGTTAGAGGCCACTGTACTTTGAGAGATGCCATGTTTCAGAGGAGATGCAGGATGGTCGTGACCACACGTGACTATTTAAAAATCCTATGGTATTTTTCACAAGAGTAACTGCACTAGTTCTGCTGGATAAATTCCAAATAGGTAGTTTCATTCTGCCTAACTAAAACTCCCCCATAATTTCAACTGAACCAGTATTCTTTCAGTATTCTGTCCTAACTTGTGTGTAGTATTGCTGTACATTATTTAAAAACGCTAACTCCTAACACAGACTGTTGAGTTCAATAAATTCTGTCAAACCCTTTAAGCTTTTTTGGATAAAGGCTTAATATAAAAGTGTAATATTGTGAAATAAGAATATTTTTAAAACTTAAGAGTGAGCTATGAAGAATTTTTTTGATTCAGTAATCATCTGAAAGTTTGCTTAAGTGTACCATGACCAAAAAGTGATATATACTACTTTTACAGCAGGTCCACTATTCTTTTAATAGAAAAGTTAGTAATAGTGGAATAATCTCAATACCCAAACTGAATTTAAGTACTGGTGACACTGTACCTCAACTCAGAGGTCCTTCAAATTACTCAGTGAACCTTCCAGACATAAAAGTCAACATAACATTATAGTTTTGCTAATATTAATTCAAAGAAAACTGAGTTAACTACTTCTTCCTCCTTTGTCTCTCTTACTAGATAGGTTCCCTTCTGGCTGCATGAAAGTAAACTATGCAGTGACATCAGGATCAAAACTAGAATCATATCCTAAATCAGTCTGTGAACAAAGAGTTATCTATTGAGCACTTACTCATGGCCTACAGAGAGCTGGCTAGGCTGACTGCTAAATTTCATTAAAAGACAGCTAAAAATGTATTAAGCTCTCTTTCTCTATGGGTTCAATTACAATAATTGCCATAAGGATGTTATAGGATCACACATGTGAGAAGAGGCAGTCCACACTACTGTAAATGGGGGGAAAGGTGCCATGAGGTGCTGTCTCTCAAGATGTAACTCACAATATGAGCACATTTGAAATTTCTGCTCTAGAGTGACTTTTCTGATGAACACTTCCTCCACAAGTCCTTTAGCACTGAGCCAGCATAGAAAGGTAACATCTGAGTAAAAGTATAAGCATAAGAAAACCCAGGAAACCAGGCTGGACACAAACACACTAAATTTCCCTGCACCATCTCTATGAGTTGGTTTTAAATGATTTGTGAGCTATATCAGGTCTAGGGGCCACAGCTTGCGTATCCCTGATCTAAACTCTGTTACATGGGCAACATAAATGCTTCAAAATGTATCAAAACCTCAGCTAGAGGATTCTGATTTGCATGACGCCTCCTTGACAGCCACTTGCTACACTTAAACACTTATTTCAGAAATTTTGAGAGCAACAACTCCTGTAAGTTAACCAAACCTGCAGTACACAAGAACATTTATAAAAAAATTCCTTCCTTTCTAGCCCTAATTTTTCCAAATATTGCATAAGATGTTAGGTATGTGATTCCAACTGAAGTTAAGGAGACAAAGCAATACATAAAGATTTTAAAATTTACCTCCTTCTCCCGGATGCAGATTCTAACGGATTTTCATTGTACTTATGTTCAAAGTCCTAAATCTTTACTTATTTAAAGAATGCTAAAATTGCTGATTCTAAGTTTTACAGTTCTAGTACTAGTACTGTCTTAGGTAACAAAGATTATGCACATAAAATGTGTACTGCACCTGATACTAGTCTTTTGATGCTTTCAAGTTGTGCAGTCAGCAGCAGCTCTTCATACTTCAAAATCTCAAACTGCACTTCATACAACTGAAGCTGTAGATCATAATAATCCGCTTCCAACTGGTCCAAATGGGCTATGGCTTCTGTACCACCTTGCAAACTCTGCATCTGAATGGAGGGAGGGGAAAAAAAAAAGAAAAGTGAATAATGCATGTCTACAGGATCCTAGTAAAACCAAGACCTAGATATTCATTTTTATGTTAAAAAAATTAAATCATGCGAAAAGTAGTTTTAAGAGAGACAGTTCAGGTTATTGTGAATATGGATAAACTGAATACTGTCAATGCTGTAGGAGAAGTTTTGACTACTCTCACTTCAGATGTAATAGACAACGTATTTTCAGTATAGCACTAGGAGGTCTATAACATCAGGTTACAGTTTATGACTGCCCATTCTTTCAGGATGAGGAGAGTGAGGTACACCCCCAACTTCCTGTTTCTTCTGTTTCTGTATTTCATGTTTTTGTTTGTTTGTTTTTGTAGATAGAGCAATAGAGGTCTAATGTAACCATTTGGTACTGTGTTAGCTTAGATGCAAAAATGTTTTAAAATTGTTAGAGGCTGTTATACCAACAAAACCTAGAAAACTGAAGTTAAGATTGACAGTCTACGTCACGGTGAACTAAAAAAAAAAAAAAGACTAGATGTATCTCTCTCTCTCTCTCAATGGGACAACAACAACTGAGGACTCTTCCAGCAAATAAAATGTAAATATTTTACTCCGTGTTTTCCATTCTCACACACTATGTGGCTAACCTTCCTAGATGCAGACATAAAGTAGAATACCTGCCTAACCACAGGCTTTTGTGCCATTTCTCAGGCCTCCCTTCAAAATCTCAGGACATCCAGTGCTGCAGCAATAAACAGAAGAGAACATTAGATCCTTTTTAGTCAGGGAGAAAAGTTGATAGTTCTTGAGCCTCACTGCTTCGGGAGTAAAGTAAGAGAATAGAGAATTTTCCAGGTTTAAAACAATTATGTCAATTTTTCTGGTCATAGGTCAGAAAGGAACATATAAGACAAGGTTTCAGGAAACAGCCAAAATGAAAATTCCAAGCTTTTTCGTTTCCCACAGTAGGCAAGTATGCATAGCAGCCAGATCCTGTTTGGCTGGAGAGTGGGGGTTGGAGTTCAGAACTGCACAGTCAACTGATATTGAAAGGAATCTCTCATCTGTTGCTGCATTTTATAGGAGAATCTAGCTCTGGATTTCTCTGATTCTCCTTCCCACCTACCAGTCACTGCCAAAGCCAAACCTAAGTTCCTAACAAAATGAGTCCCTGCCAGCTTCTATGGAGTCTGGATCCCCTCCTAGCTGAGGCAGGAGAAAGACATTTTGGCTTCAGTTGGACACATTTTTCTAGTCTGCCCATCCCCTTTTCCTGAAGAAAGAGGATCCAGCTTCTATATTATAAATCCTCAACCAGGAAGTGGGGCCATCTAATGAGAAAATGCAAAACAAAGTAAAAGTTTTTCTTTGTTTTTTCAAATTAAAAAGAACAAAATTTTACCTGCCAGTAGATTTCAGTTATGGTCGTATCCTCAAGGATTAAAACTTCACTCTAATGAATAGTCAACCATAAATTGGCTTCCTAGTTTTTACTGATTTGAAATTATCTTTAAAGAGTTTTCTGAATTAATCTAGAAAAGCATGTTTCCACACAAGATTGAAACATGGAGTGGGCAAACATGGACTGGCACTTTGTCCAAAAAGGCATTACCTGTTTCCAAGTCATTGGCAACTTAGAAGAAAATGATCATAAACACTTAAGGATCAATATCCTAACAGATAAAGCAGAAGATGGGGTAGTAGTTGGTGTCTGCTATAGACCACCAGATCACACTATAGCAGTGTTTCCCAACCTTTTCCAGTCTAAGGTACACTTCAATAAAATGTGTGTGGGGCGTGCTAAAATTATTAAAAGAAAACTTACTTTTAATGAGAAATTTGAGCTTGCCTTGATGCACAGAGTCATTGAATCCTGGCAGGAAATGTGAACAATGCAACTTGGAGCTCTTGCTCCACCAATCTCAGACGCTCTCTTTGTTTTTGATGTAAGGCAGGCTTAAAAAACTTAAGCAGGTACATTGTTGAAAACAGCAACAGAATGGAGATAGCACGGTGTGAGATTACTGGGTATTGATCTGCCACCATCAACCAGAATGAGTCCAAAGACATGTCACCAAACTTTACGTTAAAGTGCAGTCCATCCTTAATTTGGCAAGTTGCTCTTGAGCCATTTTTGTAAGATTCTTAGCATTTTCCATTGCAAAGGAACTCCAAGATCCAGTCCAAATCTTTTGTATAGGCTGAAGAAAAATATGACCTGAATTTTTCTTCCAGACCTTTCAGATGTTCAGAAATTACATTGACCAAAATACTCCCAGTAGGATCTGCCATGTTTGTGGGGGGAACATTTCTACTGTGACTTTAGCTACATTTTCCACCAGAGGGCTAACTTAGATCTAAACCCATGCAGTTTATCCATGCAGGAGAGAAGATTCTCATTTCTACCTTGCATTTTCCTGCTCACGTGGTGGTGGACTACATCAGCCAAATAAGCAAGTTTTGCACACCATTCCACATCAGAGATCAAGTCTGTATATGTGGATTCCTCCAAAGTTAAGAACAGTTTTAATTTGTCTCTCAGCTCATACAAATGAGCGAGAACTTTTCCATGGGAAAACCAGTGGATTTCTGTGTACAAAAGTAAACTCTGATTTTCTGCTCAAAAGGCAACATTTTAAAAAGACCGTGATTTTATTAAGTTCATTATCTTTACTGCTCCATCTAGCATTAAAGAAAGTTCTTCTGGCAGTGTTTTGGCCCACAAGAGCTTCATGATACAGGAAACAGTGGGCCACCAGCACATCTAGTTTTGTTCATTGACCTTGCTTGAAAACCCCTTCACTTTGCCAGTCATGGAGGCAGCCCCATCTGTGAAAACACTTAGGGCTGGTCTACACTGCCGCGCTAGTTCGGCGGCTGGGGATCGAAGTTCCAAGTTCGATTTATCGCGTCTGGTCTGGACGCGATAAATCGAACCAGGAAGTGATCCCCGTCGACTGCGGTACTCCAGCTCAACAAGAGGAGTACCGCGGAGTCGACGGGGAGCCTGCCTGCCGCGTGTGGACCGCGTCTGAACCGCGGTAAGTTCGAAGTAAGGTATGTCGAATTCAGCTACGTTATTCACGTAGCTGAATTTGCGTACCTTACTTCAACTTGGGGGGTAAGTGTAGACCAAGCCTAAGACAATTTTTCTAGTGTAGTTCTCCCTCCTCAAGGTAGGCCGCTGTCATCCTGAAGATTTCCTCTCCCGTCATGTGACCTGGCAGTTGTTTACAGAATAAAAAATTCTCTTATACTATCAACATCAATGCACTTGATGTTAGCCAAGAGTTGAGCATGACCACTGATATCTGTTGATCCATCACTCTGCAATGCAAATTTTTCCCTTGATTTGTTTTTTTGTTAGAGCACAGTCTCAATATCAGCTGACATATCATCAATGTGGCGACATATCGCATTATCTGAAAGGGGAACTTTTGCGATCTCATTGACTGAATTTGCACTTAACATTACTCTCACCATTTCTTTGCATACTGATAAATTTTATGTGTCTGCATAAAGTCAAAGTTTTTCTGGCTTCACAACAAGTTCAGCAACCAAGCAGCTTGTTTCCAGCACTGTATCATGCACAAGTCCATGGGTCCAGATCTAAGGCATCCAAGGGTGCTGAGGGAGTTGGCTGATATGATTGCAGAGCCACTGGCCATTATCTTTGAAAAGTTGTGGTGATCAGGGGAGGTCCCGGATGACTGGAAAAAGGCAAATATAGTGCCCATATTTAAAAAAGGGAAGAAAGAGAACCCGGGGAACTACAAACCTGTCAGCCTCACTTTAGTCCCTGGCAAAATCATGGAGCAGGTCCTCAAGGAATCTATTTTGAAGCAGTTGGAGGAGAGGAAGGTGATCAGGAACAGTCAACATAGATTCACTAAGGGCAAGTCATGCCTGACCAACCTGATTGCCTTCTATGATGAGATAACTGGCTCTGTGGATATGGGGAAAGCGGTGGACGTGATATATCTTGACTGTAGCAAAGCTTTTGATACGGTCGCCCACAGTACTCTTGCCAGCAAGTTAAAGTAGTATGGATTGGATGAATGGACTATAAGGTGGATAGAAAGCTGGCTAGATTGTTGAGCTCAATAAGTAGTGATCAATGGCTCGATGTCTAGTTGGCAGCCAGTATCAAGCAGAGTGCCCCAGGGGTTGGTCCTGGGGCCAGTTTTGTTCAACATCTTTATTAATGATCTGGATGATGGGATTAATTGCACCCTCAGCAAGTTTGCAGATGACACTAAGCTGGGGGGAGAGGTAGATACGCTGGAGGGTAAGGATAGGGTCCAGAGTGACCTAGACAAATTGGAGAATTGGGCCAAAAAAAACCTGATGAGGTTCAACAAGGACAAGTGCAGAGTCCTGCACTCAGGAAGGAAGAATCCCATGCACCGCTACAGGCTGGGGACCGACTGGCTAAGCAGCAGTTCTACAAAAAAGGACCTGGGGATTACAGTGGACAAGAAGCTGGGTATGAGTCAGCAGTGTGCCCTTGTTGCCAAGAAGGCCAATGGCATATTGGGCTGCATTAGTGGGAGGATTGCCAGCAGATCGAGGGAAGTGATTATTCCTCTCTATTCGGCACTTGTGAGGCCAAATCTGGAGTATTGCGTCCAGTTTTGGGCCCCCCACTACAGAAGGGATGTTGACAAATTGGAAAGAGTCCAGTGGAGAGTAACGAAAATGATTAGGGGGCTGGGGCACATGACTTACGAGGAGAGGTTGAGGGAACTGGAGTTATTTAGTCTGCAGAAGACAAGAGTGAGGGGGGATTTGATAGCTGCTTTCAACTACCTGAAGGGGGGTTCCAAAGAGGATGGATCTAGACTCTTCTCAGGGGTACCAGATGACAAAACAAGGAGTAATGGTCTCAAGTTGCAGTGAGGGAGGTTTAGGTTGGATATTAGGAAAAACTTTTTCACTAGGAGGGTGGTGAAGCACTGGAATGGGTTACCTAGGGAGGTGGTGGAATCTCCATCCTTAGA